AGCCAGGGCAACTCACCACTCCCTGCTCCTGGTGAGGGGTCACATCCATCCGGGGGCAGGAAAATGATCTTTTTGAGGAGCTCAGCCTGAACAGCCATGCCCCCGTGCACCATACTTCCAGTTTCCACTGTGTACAGCAAGATGACTGAAGTTGATGCGTGAGGAGGATGGTGCAGAGCAAAGGGACTGCCCTGCGCTTAATGTCTGGATATGTGCTGGTGGCTGTCTCTGTGTCCAAATCAGTGATGGGCAACTTGTGACCCTTCACAATTTTGGCTTGCAAGTCCCATCATCCCTGGGTAGTATAGCCACTTGCGAGGAATGATGGGGGTCACAGGGCAACACATCTGGAGGGCCATGCATGGGCTGTTTGTGGCCTAAAGCAACCAAGCTGGCCTCAGACTCTGCAACAGGCATGGAAGTGCAGGAAGCCCTGGGGAAGTCGTTGCCGGGATAGTGCGCTGAGCAGGCCAGGCCTCATGCAAGTGAGGGGTGTCCAGATTATGCGCATGCAGCCATTGGTCCATTGTTTGCATGCCGCTGCCAACAACTTTGTGCTCTTTGCAGGATTGCACAAAAGCACCCATGACAGGAACAGGGGACTCCCAGCCGTTTTCCTAGCGTTAACATAATTCCAAGGAGAAACCAGCCACCCTTGTGATAATCAAGTCAGAGGTGGCTACTTTTCTTCTGTACCTGGAAGGTTTCCTCCAAGGACCACCCTCTTCCTTTATAAGGCCCTCCACACCCAGAGTGTCCACAGCACAGCAGCCCTTCCCTCTCTGACCTTCACCTTCCTGGACATGCCACCTGCTCTTGTGCAGCCCTTCCCTCTCCCAAGTTCACAGAATTGCTGGTTGGTGCCTTCATGTTACCCCAGCGGATGCTTGTGCTCTCTTTGGATAATGGAAATAGCAACAAGGGTTGGTAATCTGCTTCCTTCTCCCTCTTTGGAGACCTATTTTTCTGTCTTTTCCAAAGCCCTGCTGCTTCTGCCACCTCCACCCACTGCATCCAGACCATAGCTATATTGGAGCAGTCCTGTCACCATTTTACCCCACAACTCCTCCTCCTTCCACCTGTCCCTCTCCCTTCTGCAAAGCTCTCATAATTAGCTGGTTAGCTGCTATTTTAGCAGTCTTTCAGCAAAGAGTTTATTTGGTGCAGAAGTTCTGACTTGTTTCCATTGCTCCTTTATGAGAGCAGTTTCTCTGTCCGCTGGCTGTCCACCGGGGGAGTAGGGCCGGGGTCACATGGGGAAGCACTGCACCCTCACACAGCGCTTAATCTAAACTCTGGCTGGCTGTGTGTGCTCTGGAAGGACTTGAGCCCTGAACACAAGGACATAGTGTGAAGGTATGTAGAGAGACAGGTGGCTTGAGCCAGTGGGGACAGCTGGACTGCGTATGCAGCGACTTTAGTGCCTGGGTAGAACCACCTGGCCACTGTGCCTCATGTGCTTCTGGTCATTCCTTTCGCATCAGGGTTACTGTAGCACCTCTTTTTCGTCTGGCCTCATGGTATAAGATCCTTTGTAAGAACCTGGAAACAAACACCTTAAAATTAAATTTTCTAGCCACCTAAACTAATCTCCAAGGGTATCAATCCCGGTTTATCACAGAAACAGCGTTCAATGAGGCCATTCAGGCTTGCTTCTTGGTTGACGTCTTTCTGAGCTAGGAAGCACTTGGGCTCAGGAAGAAGGGTGTGCAGATGACATTTATATCTCACCTTTTTTCTTCTTACAAGGAAGCCAAGGTGTCTTATATGGCCCTCCTCCTCACTCTTTTTTCCTCCTAAGGACCCTGTGAGGTGGGTTGGGCTGCAAGTCCGACTGGCATGAGGTCACCCAGTGCGCTTCATGCCCATGGGAGGGCTGGAACTGGCTCTCCAGAGTGCCGGTCCACGCACAACGCCACCGCGGTGCTCAGATTTCAGGGACCGCTGGGGAGGGTTGACACTTGTGAGCTCTCCTCTCACTCTGACCTGGCAGAGCCCTTCATCCCATGGACTCTCCCTTCATTGTCCTACCTCTCAAGGCCTTTCTTCTCAGCTGGGACATGGTCCAAAGACCCCACTGCCCAGAAGGAGCAACAACAGAGACTGTGTCAGTTTTCCTCATTCTGCACCTTGGCTGCCCACTTCCATGCCTGAGCCAAGATGCCTGGTGAGGTGCATGCTGGGAGAATGCAGGTGCGGCTGCTCCCTTTGTGTGGGGAAGCTGAGGGGGCCTTTGGGTCCTGGTTCAGGCATGAAGGAACGAGTGGCCAAAGCAAATGTTGCTTCTCTCTCCATGCAATCCAAACTGTGGCCCTTGTGAAGGATCAGTGGCCGGATGGGGATGGCCTCTGTCCTGTGTGACCACTGGGTGCACTAAAGAGGGGGAGGGGTGGCTGCAAACTTCTCCAACCTGGTGCCCTCCAAGCTTCCACCTTCCTGAGTCTACATCAGCCATGCATGCAAGAGGTGCTTGGAGTTGCAGGCCAAGGTATCTGAAGGGCATCTGGGCGGGGAATCTGGGTTGCCTGTGTAACTATTGGCAAGTGGTTTTCCGGATTTTCCTCTGCACTGAAGTGCTTTTCTGTTTGGTGATGTTTGTCACAGTTGAAGTGACTCTTGGATTGCAGCTGTAAGCAGTGACGCAGACCCAGAAAACAGCTTTGTCCTCTTCTTTTTCTCCACTATGTGCAGGCAGTTCAAACAAAGGCTTGCAGGCTGCACAGTGAAGTGGGCTTCTAGCCCCTTGGGGTGGAGGATGAGGGGTCCCACAAACACGAAGTGGCTGGTGGTTCCAAGGAGAGATGTTGGTGCAAAGAGGGACTGGGTTGTCCCCATTCCAAGCCTTGTTGGTTTGGTTCATATATATGCCACTTTAAGAGATTTACTAGAGCTACGTCCAGTGAAGAACACGAGCACAAAAATGCTGTGTAATCACTATACTAAAATATCTCTCATCTTCTCTATATACTTTTATCTGCATGTCTAAAAGAGTAATCAGCAGTTCTCTTCAGTCACTGGTCTCAGGTAAGCCAACCAGGTAGCTCCAGGTGTGGGGGACTCCTCATGCAGGGGCCTTCCTGCTAGGTTTGTGTTACTGGCAGTGGCCAGCAGAGAGGCAGGCTGCCTGCCATTTTTATTTCCCACAATGCTAAGGGGGAGCACCACTTGCACTCCTTACACTGCTCTGGAGCAATGTCGTATCAGGGCCATTGTGCGCACATACAATGGCGGGCACCTCGCAGGCACAGCCACCTGCACAGGTGATCCAGAAGTGGCCCCAGCAGGGGACCCTGCTGTGCACTGGAAGCCTGGTAGCTGCTGAGACACATGCCATGGAGCTGCTGTGCTCTCCGCCTGGAGCCCTCTGCCAGTGCACGGCCTTAGGTCAGCAATGCTGGTGCATCTTCTAGAGTTGTGATTATTTCTGTGCATGAAGTACCGTACTTTTCCTTCTATAAGACACCCCCATGTATAGGATGACCCCCCCCCCCACTTTTCCTACCCATTTCCAGCAAACAAGCTGCTGCTGCTGCACGTTTGCGGAAATGGG